GTATAACAAAAAAAAAAAAAAAAAAAACATTAACAGTATTTTACCTTCAAACAGGCAGCCAGAAGGAAACACTTGCAATTTCAAAAAAGGGAACATCACAGGTGTGGGATTCACAGATGCTTGTTTGTCAGAAGTATTTTTACATCTATATAAACTACCTGCTTCAATCAGCCGACTTTCATTCATTTGTGCATTCCTCTGAGATTAAGTTTGTAGAAAGCATACAAAGCCTGCACATACATGTAAACACAGCTTCAAAAGACCCAGGCTTATTAAACAAACATTTACTGTAACACAAACAGAGAACCCCTAGAACATGTTCCGTTTTTGTGGGCAAATATTTGGAGAACTGCTTTTGCATATCTACAACTGCAAAGCTTATAAATTTAAGTAACAGAGAACAATTATTTTTCAAGTACAACAACATATTAGGGTTCAAAATTGAAGTCATAATGTTCAGATTGATTTGATTTGATTTGATTTGTTTTATTGATTTAACAGGAAAAGATTACTAAAAATCAAGCCTGACTCAGCGTAATAACTGTTTTACAGCAGGTTCCTATTCTGAAGCACATAAAACACTCAGAAATTCAGCATCACAATCACATCATAAAAACAAAGACAAACAAGCATACCAAATTAATGCTGAAATGTTAATAAAGTCAAAAATATATTTCAAGAAAAAGATTTAGATGCTGGTAGGTATCCATTTCTTTGACAGCATTTCAAGAATACAGTCAAAAGAAAAAAGTTTATGTTTGAAGAAGAAAACTAGAATTAAATCTAAAATCAATACTGTATCCAAGCATTGTTGCAAAACTAAACATATCTGTAGTGTCACAATACTACAGAACAGGTTTAACATTTTTAGCACATTTACTCTAACTTCACAAAATACTGAATGGTTTATGGTAAAGTACGAGTGTTACGATTGATCGATAGTACGATAGATAGAACGATAGATAGAACGATACTACGATAGATAGAACGATACTACGATAGATAGAACGATAGATAGAA